ACTTCAACACCTGTTCACTCTGATGTTCAAATAGGTGGTTCTGCAGTTGCTAGTCCTTCCCAAGCAGGCCTGCCTATTCCAACTCATAGTCCTTCTCTTCCTGCCCCCACTACCTTTGCTGCTGCCCATGGTGCCCAAAGTGGTCTACCACCTCCAACTCCACCTGTCCAGGAACAGCCTAGGCCTGCTGCCCAAACACCTACTCAAGCTGGCCCACCTTTCATCCCAACAGCTCCTTCTTTCACTACTCCTCCCCCAACATTCTTCACATCTGCCCAAACATTTGCCCCTGCTTCACAAACATTCACTACACCAGCTCCTGCTACTGCTCCCACTGCCATAACGTTTACAACCCCTGCCCCAACATTCACCTCTGCTCCCCCAGCAGTCACTCCTGCTGATACGACTCCTACTTTTGAATTCCACACTCAACGATTTGAATTTGGATCCCCAATACCTACAGATGCAGGAGTAACTGGAGTATCACATGGTGCCTCTGGCTTCCAAGGAGTTTCCACACCAAGCCCCTTCCCATCTATCACTGTCCGAGGTGAGACAGGACTTGGTAGTGCTCAATCACAGATACCTGCTTTTGATAATACACAGAGTGTTGTTGGATTTAGTACTCCTCAAACTCCAGTTGATTTTAGTGCTCCTCAACCTGCAGCTGGATTTGCAGCTCCTCAACCTGCTGGTTTTGGTGCTCCTCAACCTGCTGCTGGTTTTGGTGCTCCTCAAGTTGCAATTGATTCAGGTGCACCTCAAACCACAGCTGGTATAGGTGTTCCTCTGGCAACAGCTGGTTTTGGTGCTCCTCAGGCAGCAGCTGGTTTTGGTGCTCCTCAGGCAGCAGCTGGTTTTGGTGCTCCTCAGGCAGCAGCTGGTTTTGGTGCTCCTCAGGCAGCAGCTGGTTTTGGTGCTCCTCAGGCAGCAGCTGGTTTTGGTGCTCCTCAGGCAGCAGCTGGTTTTGGTGCCCCTCAAGAAGCAGCTGGTTTTGGTGTCCCTCTGGTAGCAGCTGGTTTTGGTGCCCCTCAAGCAACAGCTGGTTTTGGTGCCCCTCAAGCAACAGCTGGTTTTGGTGCCCCTCAAGCAGCAGCTGGTTTTGGTGCCCCTCAAGCAGCAGCTGGTTTTGGTGCCCCTCAAGCAGCAGCTGGTTTTGGTGCCCCTCAAGCAGCAGCTGGTTTTGGTGCCCCTGATATTGTTGCTAACTTTGGGGCCACTCCAGGTGCCTTAGGTACACCTCAAGTTGTTGCTAACTTTGGTGCTCTTAGAGATGATTTAGGTCCAGTGCAAACCAGTTTCGGCAACAACCTAGGAGTTGCGAGTTTCGGAAATACTCAAGGTGTCACAAATTTTGCCTTCCCTAGCTCTCAGGCAACAGCTGGTTTTGGAGCTCCTATAGATACAGCTGTTCTGGGGGCTCCTGAGGTTGCAGGAGACTTTGGTGCTCCCCATGGTGCAGCTGGGTTTGGTATTCCTCAAGACACAGTTGGCTTTGGTGCCCCTCAAGATGCAGCTGGCTTTGGTGCTCCTCAAGATGCAGCTGGCTTTGGTGCACCTCAAGATGTAGCAGGATTTGGTACTCCTCTAGGTCCAGTTGAATTTGATGTAACCCAGGGTGCGGTAGGTTTTGATGTCCCTCAGGATGCAACAGGCTTTGATGCCTCCCAGGGTGCAGTTGGCTTTGGTGCACCCCAGGGTGCAGTTGGCTTTGATGCCTCCCAGGGTGCAGTTGGTTTTGGTGCACCCCAGGGTGCAGTTGGCTTTGATGCCTCCCAGGGTGCAGTTGGTTTTGGTGCACCCCAGGGTGCAGTTGGCTTTGATGCCTCCCAGGGTGCAGTTGGCTTTGGTGCACCCCAGGGTGCAGTTAGCTTTGATGCCTCCCAGGGTGCAGTTGGTTTTGGTGTACCCCAGGGTGCAGTAGGTTTTGGTGTTCCTCAGGATGTAGCTGCTTTTGGTGCCCCTCAGGATGCACTTGCCTCCGGTGCCCCTCAGGGTACAGTTGACAGCAGAACTTCTCTAGATGCCTCTAACTTTGCTGTTCCTCAAGCTGAATTTGGTTTAGATACACAAGGCGGTAATGCTTTTAGTGTTTCTAATGGTTTACCAGTTCAACCAGGCAATGCGGCTTTCAGTCCTCCAGGTGTTGGTGTGCCCTTAGCCATCATTAACCCTCAAGGCAATTTTAATCCTGTGGGAATAGCAGGGCCAGATTTTGGACCCACCATCAACACCGGAGCAGGTTTTGGACCCACCCTCAACACTGGAGCAAACTTTGGCTTCGACATTAATGCAATACCCTTTACCCCTGAAGAACAACAGGAGCTACTTGCTGCAGCAGGAATCGGAACACCAGCATTTGGTAACTTCAATTTTCAAGTGAAGCGTGATACAGCCAAAGCAAGTGAAAGTTCTGAAGATGCGTCCTAACTTGTCCTCGTTAGAAGTGGTGCTGGTTGGGCCTTGCCTGGTGCCAGGCTCACCCATTCACACTAGTCTTCCAGCACTGCTCTTTCATATTCACACTTCAGGAAGCTTGGGTCAAGTTCATTGTCTACCTTTATCTCTTCTGTCATTTCCTAGTCTTTATAAAGATAATGTTCATGATGTTAACTTTTAGTATTATGTCCATGGCCCAGCATCAAAATATCTGTCTTGCTGTACCTTTGCTTCTGTGTTACATATGTGTTCGTATCTGGGGGAAACTGGTGAGTTCAGCGGGACAGGAAATCACGAATTAACTCCTTATGTTTACTAAAAGAAAAAAGTCATGAGAAAACAATCAAAAGTCTTGACGTGTGTCCAGATATTTGGTTCATAAAGTACAATTCCTTCCTCTTCTTTCCTCTGCACAACCACAGTTTCCAGGCTATCATCCTCCTTTACCCCTGTCCTTCGTCCCTCCTCTATCCCCATCAAAACACACTACTTGTCTGGACACCGCATATCCGCTTACGTGATGATCGCTCAAAACGTCCCAACAGACAATCAGTTTCCTCTAAATATTTTGATACTGTATTTATTTTTAGTAACAAAAATAATACCAATACCTATATATTGTATTTCATTTCCGCATTCCTACAATATCATAGAATCCAGAATCTTGGATGTATGAGCTTCCGACAACTCGCGGATAGAGGGAGAGAGAAAATGTTTGCATTACAAGACAAAGAAAATGGCAACAGACACAGACACAGATGCAGATACACGCACATAGAATAATAAACTATAGGTAAGAATAACAAATAAAATTAAAATAACGAAACAAAAAACTGATATATGATTAACAAACAAACAGTTTAAATACAAATACAAAACTAATCATCTTTTTATATATATATATATATATATATATATATATATATATATATATATATATATGAACATGAAAGTAAATATATAATGCGCGCGCGCGCGCACACACACACACACACGTGTATGTATGTATATATATATATTATGTACGTATATATATATATATATATATATATATATATATATATACAACATTCTACATATATATATATGTATACACATATATGTATGTATGTGTGTGCTTGTTTGCGTGCGTGCGTGCGTGCATTCGTGCGTGCATTCGTGTGTGTGTGTGTGTGTGTGTGTGTGTGTGTGTGTGTGTGTGTGTGTGTGTGTGTGTGTGTGTGTGTGTGTGTGTGTGTGCGTGTGCGTGTGCGTGTGCGTGTGTGTGTGTGTGTGCGCGCGCGTGCGTGCGTGTATTTATAATTGCGTGTGCATGTTTTTATCTCTAGTTAGATATGAAACATTTATACATACATATACACATATTCATATATATATATACACATATTCATATATATATATATATATATATATATATATATATATATATATATATATATATATATACACACAAACACAGTGAGGTACTGGTAATGAAAGGATATAGTTTCGTGATTATATTAACTGCGCATTTTTTTCTTCACGACCCGCTTTCCCTTCTTGGTTTGCGGACAATGTCTCGAGGACTAGAGATCTCCAGTGGGAAAATCGTAGCAATTGCGTCCCTGATTGCTTTAGGGGAACGCAATAAGGAAATGTCCACTCTGACCAGAGTTGCACACGGAACAGTCCTGCAATGGACTAGAGGGATCACAGGCGCTGGAGGTGAGAATCCATCCCATCACAAATCTCGCTCTGTGAGACCCATAAACAACTTACAGGACTCAAACTCATCCCGCGTCAAGTAGAGGCTGAGCCCATGTGGCGGCGAAAGAAAGAAAGAAACGGATCCACCGCTAAGGGAGGCGAGCGTTCGCACGATCCAACGCCGCCTCGAGGACGGCCTCTCATGAACACCGCCGGCCGCAACAAAAAAATATTGCTCACCAAGACACAGCCAGAAAAGAATCATTTTGTAAGATGCATTTGAAATGTGTTGCGGACTGACGAGGCGACCTTCAGTGAATTCAAAGTACTCGCGGTCAAACACCCTGATTCAGTGATGGTACCATGGGACAGGGAAGCTTGTTGTTCTACCGTGACTGTGAACACGTTACTTGGAGCTCCTCGCCGAACACTTTGAGGACTGCTTTGGCCACTGCCAGTCAACTGTTCCAACAGGATGGTGCACCGGCCCACATGTCGAAATTAATAAAGGCCTGACTTGAATGAATTTGTGTTGACAACACCGGAGAATTCCCCACATCATAATCCCATCAAGAAATCATATGGCTCATGAAGTGGCGCCTCAGGAGACCGCGCCTGAGCTCATGGAGCACCTCTATGGCATACGAGGAAACCTTGAGCACAGTCTGCTTCAGTGGCTGGCGGAAGCTGTCCCAAAACGCATGGCAATGTGTACTAAGACCAGTGGCGGACACATCAAGGGGCGAGGGGGGGAGGGGTGCCCTAATCATTTTTAAAAATGGGAAAGTTTATTCCACATTTCCCTCAGACATATATTTTTTGCTTAATGGTTAATGGTTAATGGTTAAAAGCAAGATAAATGTGCTAGACATCTAAGGTCATGTAGCACTATAGTTAATGTTAGTGAAGGGTGGTTGAGTTAGTGATTAGTTGTCTAAGCTGGGCAAAGGAATTAGTGAGTGAAAGGGTTAAGGTCGGGTGTTATATTAGATAAAGGGTATGTATAAGAAAGGTTTCTTGAAGGCATACAATAGATGGGTTACAAGAGGAAAGGATATGATGGTCAGGTCTGTGGGAGCGGAAACCGCGAATATTCCAATGAAGGATAATTATACTTTCGTTGATTTAGTGATATAGATTGTAGTACGTGTTGGAGAATTTGAAGGGGAAGCAGCTAGAGGGTGGGATAAGGACTGAGAGGTTTGAGATGGGAGAGGTGTGGGAGTTGGTGTTCTATCAGGAGGGGTATTAGGAGATGGAGGGTCTGAGGAAGGGGATACTTGTGACATAAGGGATTCACGTGTGTATCCAGGAGGGAATGGAAGGGATAGAGGGGATGGTGGGAGAGTTAATGTGGGCAGGGTTGGGGTCAGGGGGGATGGGCTGTGTTGGGAGGGGGTAGGAGGGTAGGGTGTAGGGGGGATATCGTTAGGAGGAGGATGGATATCAGCAATTACTTGGAGTGTGGAAGGAGCAGGAGTTGTAGGTTGAGTGTCGGTTTTCATTAAGTAATCTTGAATATTTTCAATAGTTTCTTCTGTGGAGTTGGTTGGGGAGTTTTGAGGGATAAAGGATTTCTTGTGAGGGGGGGAAGAGAGGACTGGTGTCTCAAGAGTACGGGCAAAGGATGGTGGGGGTGATTGTGTGGTAGGGGAAGAGGGGGTGGAACGTTTGTTCTGTCTGTTACGGGGAGTGCGAGGAGGGAGAGGGGAAGGTGTTGGGGTTGTAGTGGTGATTGGAGTATCTGTAGTAGAGATTGGAGTTTCTGGATTTAGGATGGCAAAAGAGTTTGACTGGGGAAGGTAGGTGGGGTTAGTGGGGGGGTTAGATGTAGGAGGGGTGGGTTTAGGAGAAGTGTTAGAATGAGCAGTATTACTGGAGTAAGGTTAATGGTTAATGGTTAAAAGCAAGATAAATGTGCTAGACATCTAAGGTCATGTAGCACTATAGTTAATGTTAGTGAAGGGTCGTTGAGTTAGTGATTAGTTGTCTAAGCTGGGCAAAGGAATTAGTGAGTGAAAGGGTTAAGGTCGGGTGTTATATTAGATAAAGGGTATGCATAAGAAAGGTTTCTTGAAGGCATACAATAGATGGGTTATAAGAGGAAAGGATATGATGGTCAGGTCTGTGGGAGCGGAAACCGCGAATATTCCAATGAAGGATAGTTATACTTTCGTTGATTTAGTGATATAGATTGTAGTACGTGTTGGAGAATTTGAAGGGGAAGTAGCTAGAGGGTGGGATAAGGACTGAGAGGTTTGAGATGGGAGAGGTGTGGGAGTTGGTGTTCTATCAGGAGGGGTATTAGGAGATGGAGGGTCTGAGGAAGGGGATACTTGTGACATAAGGGATTCATGTGTGTATCCAGGAGGGAGTGGAAGGGATAGAGGGGATGGTGGGAGAGTTAATGTGGGCAGGGTTGGGGTCAGGGGGAATGGGCTGTGTTGGGAGGGGGTAGGAGGGTAGGGTGTAGGGGGGATATTGTTAGGAGGAGGATGGATATCAGCAATTACTTGGAGTGTGGAAGGAGCAGGAGTTGTAGGTTGAGTGTCGGTTTTCATTAAGTAATCTTGAATATTTTCAATAGTTTCTTCTGTGGAGTTGGTTGGGGAGTTTTGGGGGATAAAGGATTTCTTGTGAGGGGGGGATGAGAGGACTGGTGTCTCAAGAGTACGGGCAAAGGATGGTGGGGGTGATTGTGTGGTAGGGGAAGAGGGGGTGGAACGTTTGTTCTGTCTGTTACGGGGAGTGCGAGGAGGGAGAGGGGAAGGTGTTGGGGTTGTAGTGGTGATTGGAGTATCTGTAGTAGAGATTGGAGTTTCTGGATTTAGGATGGCAAAAGAGTTTGACTGGGGAAGGTAGGTGGGGTTAGTGGGGGGGGTTAGATGTAGGAGGGGTGGGTTTAGGAGAAGTGTTAGGATGAGCAGTATTACTGGAGTAAGGAGTAAGAGAGAATCCACGTCGACGTGCTTCCTGTCTGGCTTCACGCAGTGTGAGTCCGAGTTTGAATCTGAGAGTTGCTACCTCAGATTCAAATTTGTAGGTGGGACAGCCTCTATAAAATACATTATGGGGGCCGCCACAGTTGGCACATGTGCGTGATTGTGCAGAGCAGTTAGATCGGGTATGGCCAGGTTGGGCACATAATGGGCATCTGGCTGTGGAACGGCAGTGTTTGGCTGGGTGTCCTAGACGCCAACAATTTTGGCACTGACGTGGAGGAGGTTGGTATGGACGAACAGGGAGGGATTCTCCTCCTATGTAGACGTTAAAGGGAAGGTCATGTCTACGGAAGGTAATTTTGG